GAATGTATTAGGCAGTGATGTGGTGGAGGCTGGCTCCATACACAGCTTCAAATGTAGATATGATAGAGCCCAGTAGGCTCAGGAACCTGTACACCAGTTGATTGACAGTTTAAAGGAAAATAAGTATAACATTCAGGGGTTTTTAAAGATCATATTCTGTACTAATGAAACACTTGTTCACTAAGAATTGTAATGTATAATTGCCTTGTAAACCTTATGTATATATGATTTATATTGTATTTTCTTAAATAAAGATAAAAAAAAAGATTGACAGTTGCGAGGCGGGACCAAAGAGCCGAAGATCAACCTCCGCAACCACAACTAGGTAAGTACACGTGTGTACCTGCGTATATATATACGTATGAAACATAAATTACTATAGATTTTCCGTTGTCGGGAACAGTCAGCTTGTACGCCAGCTTAACGAGGTCCCTCCTAGCCTACTAACTTTCCCCAGAAAGCAAAGCACAATAGTTTCCTAAATCCCCGGCACCTATTTTACTGCAGAACAAGTACATCAGATGAAAGGAAACGTGCCCAAACGTTTCTGACCTATCTTGAAATTAAACTCGTGTCCCTCGACTGTGAGTTGAGGACGTAGACCACTGAAAGCTATTTCGTCCGAACCTCTTCATGGAACTAACAGGCATGAAGATCTTGACATCGAGAATGGTGTTTCAACGTAGTATAGAGTGGCCGGAGTGTCCATATGAAGCCATAATGCCCCGTCCAGCGGAGGGCAGCCTGGTGGTCCTGTGTGGCCGTAAACTGCTTTGTTTATCGTGTGCGGCCGGCCTAAAGGAGGCAGCAGGGATGGGCTGCCCCTCGGATCTCCTGATAGCCAAACAAACACTATTATCATCATCACAACACCGACGAGTTTTTTGGGGGTCGAGGTGTTTTTGTGGTGTGGGGACGAGACTGAGACGGATGGGGGAGGTTGGACGGGACGAAACGGAGCGGTGGTGGGGTGGGGGTGTGGACGGTAATTGACAGGGATGGGGGTAGGTGGACGGTAATTGACAGGGAAGTAAGACACAGAGCTGGGGGGGGGGGGGTGAAAGGGTGTGGTCAAATCGTACATAAGACGATTCAACAAAGTTTTTTTTTTAAACCGTAAATATTATTAGGTTCTAATGTATTAGCTTAGGTTAAACTGTGATAAGCTCGGTTAGGTTAAGTTAGGTTAATATGGATTAGGCTAGATTTAGTTGGGTAAAGTTAGGTTGGTTTTTAAGTCCGTTAGCTAACACGCTACTCTGGTATATGATGTGACTTGTATCCTGATGAACAGTGAAACAGGTAGATAACAGACGTAACAGTTCATATTTTGTACGTATACCTCGCAACTGATATGTATATTATAATTGTTGGACGATATATTACAATATATAGGGAAAGGGAGAGTGTGAGGCGTAGAGGACACAAGTCACATCGTACACAAGACGGTTCGCCAACTAATCCTTAAATAACTTAACTAGTAGTTAAGGCCTGACAAAAAAACTTCCACAACTGTAAGTCATCGCTATTTTAAAAGCAACCTAAACAGAGTCCATCAAACTTAGTCTAACCTAACTAAAATAAAAAATAAAACGGTTTTAAACAGAAAACAATCTTTGTCGAATCGTCTTGCGTAATTCAGAACCCATAACACAATGTGCACTGAACTACACAACATTCCAATCCACCAACAAAAAAATACAAATTCGTCAACAAAAAACTCCAAATCTGACAATAACAAAATTCCAAATCCATCAACAAAACAAAGTCAAAATCCGTCAACAGAAAAAATACAAATACAAATTTTCTGTTCTCGTGTCCTCTGGTAGGCTAGGATAAGGTCACGTTAGTACGACAATTTCTTGATTTTGTGAAATCTTAGGAGGACGGGCTGCGAATGAATGTTGAAAGGCGGGACCCAACAGCTGAAACTCTATCTTCTCTCATGTACAATTAGACAAGCACACACACACACACACACACACACACACACACACACACACACACACACACACACACACACACACACACACACACACACACACACACACACACACACACACACACACACACACACACACACACACACACACACACACACACCAGTAGCAGTTCGCTGGAGAAGTTGCGGCGATTACAAACTTATTATACTTAGGTTAATACTTATATTAACCTACCTTTCGCCCCCTTACCCCTTATGAATATAATGTCACCCGGTATGACGGCATGGCTGTACGCTCTCTTTTATCTCACGTCGTACGTATAATTTAAGTGTTTAATACTACCAATTTACCGAGTTATTGCTATGGTTCACAATTTTAGAATGTAATGGTATAATTAACGCCATATACAGCGCAGGGGAAACTTGTCATATGTGTTAATACCTGTATGGAGTAAGAGACTTTCACTGCCAGCACCCTCATACAACTTGGAACAATTGAAATGGAAATTATATATTTAATGGACAAAAAAATCTGTGCTCAATTAAGAAGTTGACATCTTGAGCGTGAAGTTTGACTCAACTTGAAGCATATTCTTCAAGACGCAGATACGCCTAAAATCAAGTCAAAGTTCTATGCGAAGGTCCTAATTTGCTGCATCTTCATCCAGTACATAAAATGGTTGAAAGTTAACAACAAAGTTTATTCCTAATATAAAACTAATAAAATCTTACAAAATGAGCATTATTCTAAAGCTAGGCTTCAGATAAATTCTTAGCCCGTCGTTTTTTTTAAACACATCAGTACCATTACCAATAAACCGTTGTCTTAGTAAATTGCCTTAGTAAATGGTTGTGTTTGGACAAGCTGTTGTAACCAGAGTTGTCTAGAGCTGGTCGTCAAAACGGCGGCCTCGCTCTTATCGTTATCTTTAATCTTGACTGCTTGGTGATTGAAACTTTCTAGAGATTTAAATAACAAGGAGTGATTATAATCACGCACTTTCAAGTAGGGCGTTCTCTCATGTTCCTGATAATAACATTCATTCACCTGGACAATCGGAGCCTTGAACTGGCCACATAAACCGTAGCCTGCAGCTCTATATCTACTGAGCCACCAACTTGAGTTGTATGTACTCACCCAGTTGTGCTTGCGGGGGTTGTGCTCTGGCTCTTTGGTCCCGCCTCTCAACTGTCAATTAACTGGTGTGCAGATTCCTGAGCCTACTGGGCTCTATCATATCTACATTTGAAACTGTGTATGGAGTCAGCCTCCACCACATCACTGCCTAATGCATTCCACCTGTTAACTACTCTGACACTGAAAAAGTTCTTTCTAACGTCCTTGTGGCTCATGTAGGTACTCAGTTTCCACCTGTGTCTGTTTCCACCTATGTGTGTGTGTGTGTATATATATTATTTGTATTTACTATATGTGCGTGCAGAATCGAGCCATTGGACCCCGCCTTTCTGGTTGATACCTGGTTGATACCTGGTTGATACCTGGTTGATACCTGGTTGATGGGTTCTGGGAGTTCTTCTACTCCCCAAGCCCGGCCCGAGGCCAGGCTTGACTTGTGAGAGTTTGGTCCACCAGGCTGTTGCTTGGAGCGGCCCGCAGGCCCACATACCCACCACAGCCCGGTTGGCCCGGCACTCCTTGGAGGAATAAATCTAGTTTCCTCTTGAAAATGTCCACGGTTGTTCCGGCAATATTTCTATGCTGGGAGGACGACCGATCTATTTTTTCTATTATATCTACTGCAAATATTTCTCTCCAACACACATCCCTCGGAAGCAGCCCGCAGCAGCTGTCTAACTTCCAGGTACTTATTTACTATTAGATAAACAGGTGAACGAAACTGCCCATTTGTTTCAGCCTCTGCCGGGAATCGAACCCGGGCCATTAGGACTATGACCCCCGAGCGCTATCCATTGGAGGTCCCCTAAATGTAGACTTTCCTCGTGTGTCTCCTATAATACCATCTTGGCGTGATCACTGTGATTGTCTTTGTGAGGTAACAACAATGTGAACCACGTCGCCAGTGTGACGAGCTAGGCTAGTGTTTCTTGCAGTCTTTAATATTACAGCCTCTTTAACAACCATTGTCTCTGCTTGTGAAATTCAGTCTTTCTATTATTGTTATTTATACTCTTACATTTTGAGTTAATGACTTTATTATTTAGTGAATAATAAAATCCAAATTATTACAGAGAGTAATCACACTGACGTGACTGCATCAATGAGAAAATCCGGAGGAGCAGTGATAAAGGTTCGAACCTATGCGGTGGATTTTCCCACGCACACGCTTCTAGCGACTAGACCACGACATGGTATAAGGATTGTAACCTGGAGTTCTACTGAACACACACAAGGTTCTAGATGCACTCTGGCATCTAGAACTTGTTTTACCTTTGACGCTCCTCTCTCAATACACAGAGAGTAAACCCATTAGCATGACGCTAGTGTATAAGTATTCTGTGTCATTACATGTTAGTGTAATTACTCTCTGTAATCCGTATGTCTAAACGGATTCCGGGGCCAGGATTCATCCAGAATTTTCGCAACTTACGAACCCTGTACATCTTTCCTTAATTATGTCGGCTTTGTTTACATTTATTACACAGTTTACGAGCTTCGAAACCTAACAAGCCAAGGTTATTGTTATAATATGAATCGACTTAGCTCAGTCGATTAAGGCAGCGTCTGGGATGCTCTCGGACGTAGGTTCGAATCCTCGTCACGGCCCTTGTAGATTGGTTCAACTTGTAGTGCTTCGAAGTTCATAAACTGTTAATGTAAACAAAGGCACCCTGGTTGACGAAAGATGTACACGTTTAAAGATGTACAGTTTGCGTTAAGCTTTCATAATTCCTGGCCCCTAGCAGGCCCCTTTGATGAATCGTGAGTCACGTAAGCGGGGGCTGCATTATCAAAGGACCCAAGCCGCCAGCTGGTGTAAGGAGGCGGGTATCGGGTCTACAAAACCGCTGCAGTCACTGCTGATAAGGTGCACGTCAGCAGTCTGCCTCAAATTATAGTGACTAATGCCCCGGGAAGGTGGCGGCTGGGAGGCACACACGTTTGTGTGATAGGCGCCTATTGCTGAGCGCCGCCATGTTGGGCAGAAGAGACGCAGCCGGTACCGGACCAGCAGGTGAGCGGGTGCTATGTCACTTATCTATTGTTGCATCGTGTTGATAGTAGGCGTCGCCCTCTGTGTCGGTACCTTCTTGTTGCAGAAGGTGAGCACCGTGGGTGTTCCGTGTACCAGTGAGCACCGTGGGTGTTCCGTGTACCAGCGAGCACCGTGGGTGTTCCGTGTACCAGTGAGCACCGTGGGTGTTCCGTGTACCAGTGAGCACCGTGGGTGTTCCGTGTACCAGCGAGCACCGTGGGTGTTCCGTGTACCAGTGAGCACCGTGGGTGTTCCGTGTACCAGTAAGCGATCACCAGCGTCGTGAGGGGCCCATTAAGGCAGGCAGGGGTTCATGGCATGATACATGGGAGCGCGGTAATAACCCAGCTACCAGACCGGTCGGTCATGACTGGGGCTCCACCCACCACACTAATGAGGCTTCGTCTGTGGGCTGTGAGATTTACCCTAATTTTTCCTGACGATGATAGATTGACAGGATGCTTCATGGACCATGGCTGCCAGAGGGGAGTGATGGGGCTCAGTTTTCGAATGGTGTTGGACTTACCCTATCAACCGAGGGAAGAGTTTAAGGGTTAAACACAGCATACTGTCCTACAAAAAATATATACCAGTACTATAGCCATAAGTACAATCTCGGTGTACATAATCGAGAAGCCAAATACCCTTATTAAGAGTCGGTAATCAACATTATTGCTACAATTACCGAACGCACATTGCATACGCAACTTCCGGGAGGAAATGACTGAAATTCTCAACACGGTCTCAAGTCCGAATTTGTCACGTGGCTGCACAAGCCGTCAACAGTGACAATAATGGGAGATGAAAGCAAGTGAAAGTGGGATCAATTGGCTTCCTCGTTGAAGGCATACAATGGAACACACAGTGAAGAACCTTACTGTACTATAACACTCACGCCCGCATGGTAGGCAGCCGTTGTCATATATACCTTAATTGAAAGTTTCTTCTCCTAACCTGACAGCCTAAGCTAGAGGACCCAAAACAGAAAACGGGACAATACGTCACTTTCGTGAGCCGGTTTCATAACCTAACCTTCTTAGTATGTTAAGATAAGCATCTTATTGCTTCGTAATTACAATTATTAATAATTGTAATATAATAATAATTGTATTATATTGTAATTACTTATAATAATTGTAATTACGAAGCAATAAGATGCTTATCTTAACATACTAAGGTTAGGTAAGGTCGGTGTTTTCTATGAAGCTTTTCAAGGTAAACTAAAATATTCATAATAAATTAGTATGTCACATATGCACGTATTTAATAAGTCAATATTGACTATACGAAAGTGCGAGAACGGGTTGGTGGATTCGGGTTAACTGTGCGCGTCTATGCACGGGGTTATCTGGGTGCCAGTCTTTATAGACTTAAATTATGTTATGTAATGCTTTGGTTTGATGCTATGTTCATGTGCTGTTTCATTTGGTGTTTGTGTACTGTTATGGTGCTCCGGCATCTTTTCTTTTATTTTGTATTTATACGCTGTTTTATATAATAAAGGAAAGACAAAGATTGCACAACACACGCTCGATAGAACCCTTCCGTTAACAAACCAAGTTGGCCATTATATGCAAAACGGCATGTGGGTAATGTCGTTAAAACTGTATACATTGTAATAATGATAATTTTATGGATGCCACTAGATGCTGGTGGTGTTCCCGGTGAGAGCTGCCTTAGAACACAAGCCAGGCAAGGTACCAACCGGCACATTACGCCTACTTCCCTGTAAAGCACTCAGTCCGAGGTTCTCTCGGACTGAGTGCTTCGCCAGTCAGAGACCTTATCACTTAACGAACCTCCCTTCTCCATTAGGCAAGTTAAAGCTCCCGTAAACTGCTTTTGAAGCGTTAGAACGCTACAAGGGCTGCAAATGGTCAACGTGTGCGCTAGGCGAGCCACCATGCATGGGTAGCGTCTCCCTGCTTGCCTGTGGCTCACATGCGTGTCCTATCGCTCATACCCAAACGCGTCGCAACTTTAGGCGTTTAATTTTAATACCTTACGTTATAAAATGCACAAAAGCTATATACATCGTGATAATAAAAGCAATTGTGCTAATGTGTTCACGTACGGCAAGAGAGTTAAAAAGTGGCAACGTGGCGAGACTGGGACATGATGCCATATAGGGTTATGGAGGTGCGTGTGTCGGCGACCTTAATGCGTCAGGCGCGCGCTGATCCAAGCACAAATTCGGCAAGCGCTCTAATGGCTGTTTCCTTGTATTTTCTCCGCCTGTACACCCTGCCCAGCCATGTTTGTGAGAGCCTATCATGTCCGCACAGCTGTGATATGCATGAGGAGTGTGTATAACGGATTGTTCTGACAAAGACTCTTGCGGTACCCGTGATCAGCGTAGTAGTGTTGATGGGGGATGTGTGTTTGACCTTAACCATGTATAAAACAAGTCGACGATCAAGCGAAATCATCTAAATAGTGTCATGATGAATTAAACATCATGCGGAATTGTCACCATTTATTATGTGTCACGATGCACTTTACTAAACGCTAGACAAGTGTAACTGCCGGCCATATATATATTGTCTAAACTGGACTGACAGAAAATAAAATAAATCATATGCAGCTCGTTCAGAAGATTTGGTCCAGGGCATCCAAGAATCAGACATGAAACGAACAAAATCGCAATGCATGCAGTTCACACACAGATTTTAAATGTAAATGTTATTCCGAGTACATCCCAACACGTCTCGCTATGAATGAGTACATCCTTGGCCCCTCCTAAAATATTTGGGCGAGCACTCACACACACAGGCACATTTTATTCTCGTGTATATATATATATATATATATATATATATATATATATATATATATATATATATATATATATATATATATATATATATTATATATATATATATATATATATATATATATATATATATATATATATATATATATATATATATATATATATATATATATATATATATATATATATGTCGTACCTAGTAGCCAGAACTCACTTCTCAGCCTACTATTCAAGGCCCGATTTGCCTAATAAGCCAAGTTTTCCTGAATTAATATATTTACTATAATTTTTTCTTATGAAATGATAAAGCTACCCTTTTCTCTATGTATGAGGTCAATTTTTTTTATTGGAGTTAAAATTAACGTAGATATTTGACCGAACCTAACCAACCCTACCTAACACTAACCTATATTATATGTAAGGTTAGGTTAGGTAGCCAAAAAAAGCTAGGTTAGGTTAGGTTAGGTAGGTTAGGTAGACGAAAAAACATTAATTCATGAAAACTTGGCTTATTAGGCAAATCGGGCCTTGAATAGTAGGCTGAGAAGTGCGTTCTGGCTATTAGGTACGCATGGCAGCAACCCGGGGAGACTATTTAGCACACAAAAATAAATTATATACTGATCATGACCAATTAACTTTCCTAGCATGGAGAAAATATCCAAACATAATGATAGTATATATATATATATATGATACAAAACTAATGGGTTAGGAACCATTGCATTAAAGAAGAGCTGACGATCGATTCTGCAAGGACAATTTGGCCAGTATATATACACAATATTTTGGCAATAAATATTGATTTATATATTCTCCGTGAGTTCTAAGATACATGAATGGCCTCCCGCCCAGACCCCCTGACCCCGTTAAGTCGTTATCCAAATTTAGGGTATTAGTTCCAGCTTGTGGCGCTGCATGGGAATCGAATTTAAAAAGACAATCGCCAATTAGCTTCCATGATAACGCGAAACTAACTATGCAATATGACCGTTCCCAATATTTTGGTATGAATTTAAATTTAGTACAAAGGTAAAGCCTAGCATTGCAAATCCGCGGATGACGCGGGTGGACTGGATAGCCCGTTATCGCATTTTGACGGCAAAAAACCAATGTACTAAAAATGATAGCGACTCGGGAAATTGACGTGATGTCCCATTTTCTGTTCATGGGTACTCGGTTAGGTTAGGTTCGGGCACGTTAGTACATCAGTTTAGTGACGTTGGGAACGCACTGGGAGAATATGCTGCCACACCCAGGTTATTCAAGGCTCGTGTGCCGCGAGGAAGCAGCCCAGACGAGCGCATGATACTTCTCTCGTAATTACCACTTGTAGAATTTCAAGAGTCAAGTCAGGTTAATTGGTATTCAAGGGAAGACACGCTCAAAAAATGACCGGTATCCTGTACGTGTCGTTCGAGCAGTGGTAATCTGTGGCTGGTGCAAGGAAGGAGAGGCAGGATCAATACGGGCGGCGCACGAGGGGACCTGCAATTTGTTTTAACTGGTCAAGCTTATCAGTATTACTTAGGCAAAGAAGTGTATTTAATGACATGTGTACAGTTGTAGAATCTGAAAGGTCATAAGGTTCTTGCGGCCATTTGAACCATTCAGACGATCATTAGCCTTTTAATTTCAGAACTGAGCGTAATTTGTTATGAAATGCTCATTATTATATTATGTCAATTATATTCTTTTACATTACACTGTAAAGCTGACACTGTCACAGTAAATTTAAATTTAAACAAACAGTATGAACAAATCACATCCAGGGAGTGTTTACTATTGACCAATCAAGGATAAGTAAGTCGTCTAGCCAATCAGCAAGTAGCAAAGGATGGCTGGTGGCGAAATAGATCACTAGGTGACAAAACGTATCAGTTGGCGGCAGTCGTTGGTGGCGACATGATGTCAGGTAAATGCTGAAGATGGCTGTACCTCTAATTTCCCACTTGAAGGTGTTATTTGGACAGTCCTGTGGTTGAGAAAGATTAATTGACACTGGCTTGGTTTTGGGCTTAAGACCTATCAACCTCCGAAAGGTTATTAAGGCCACCACAAGTGGTTACTAACCAACCAGTAAGTACTGTTTCTAAACATATTCCAGGACTATATTTACATCGAGAAGCGTGTATACTTCTCGGTGTTATATCAAATATTGCAAGTCTGTACCATGTATACCATGTATGTAGATAACATAACATTC